AATTGGTGATTGTAAATTGTCCGTAGGTGTGAATGTGAGTGTGCTTGGTTGTCTGTCTCTAAGTGTAGCCCTGTGATAGACTGGTTACCTGTCCAGGTGAACCTGCCTTCACCCTCAGTCAGCTGGGATAGACTCCGCCCCCCTAGTGAGGATGAAGGTGTAGAGATGATGGATGGATGTATTATTTTATTTCCTTTTATTGTGGTCAAGCTTAATTTTTCAACATAAAGCACTGTGGTCATTTTTAGGGTCATAGTTTGTGACACAGTTGTACTGAATACCTACTGTAACGTGTTTCTGTTGTTCTGACCACTTGTCAAACGGATGCAAACCTTCCAGGTAATCATCACATTTCTTCTCTGTACCTTTGTAAGAAAAGTAATCTGGAATCTGTGTCACAATCATAATGCAAAACGACACGATAGAATCTATTCAATTAATGCTGTTGGAGTAGAAGTTCTGCACGACAAAGACCTTAAACCTACAAATCCAGGGCGCTGATTACTTTTACTATTGCCTCAGTCTCATTCGGGCCTGTGACGGCTCGAGTGCTGCACGGAGGCTTCAGCGTGTGAAGGTGGCCGGAGGTACGTGTCCAGCATGGAGAGAAGACATTGTCTAATTGCTTAGCTGGAAATAGCCTAAGGTGGGGTGGGAGGGAGGAGTGGTAGTTGTGCTGGCGCGGAGTAAAAAGGGATTGCCCCATCTTGTTAAATCAGCACCCTGACCTTTGGCCCGGTTGTGGACACTCTGGGTAATGCGACTGCACACGGACACACACCCGGCCGTCGTTAATACATATGAACACACACATGGACAGACACTGAACGGCACGCCTTCCATACATCACTGACAGCCCTGTGGTAGTAATAGAGATGACCCCAATCATCAGAGGGAGAGAAAAGGGAAACTGAAGCCCCTTGCCTAACCAAGGCTACGTTTTATTGTCGGCCTCCATTGTGCCCTCCTGACGACATGGCATTGGAGGTTGATCACCTGTAATAGAGTCCAGCCGAGGTGCAGATTAAAAGTACAAATCACATTGTAAACGACTGAGCCGAGCTGCACCATGTAACCTCTGTGCTGGTCTGTGGGGTTTCCTCCCCCTGGTGCCAACGTCTCAGGAAGATAAGAGATAACAGCACGGCGTTGGGACAAAAGATCAAAAGGAGGCGACTGATTGAAGCTCCAGCGCACGACCGAGAGAGGATATTAAACCAGGTGTCCTGCCTCTGAACACATGTGGCTGCATCCGAAGCTTCTCACACTCTGGTCGCTCTTTTCCTCCTCCGGCGCCATATGGAAGCAGGTCGAGAGCAACTCTGACGATGTTAATTTTCCCACAGCGTGCCCCCCCGTGGTAAGGAGCTAAGTGCCCCTCTCTTTCTCGCTCACGCCGCACGCAATGTTCTTCCCGTCCGTGAATAAAATGTCACATCTGCAGGTGAGCGCCACCTCACTGATCCATGAAGCTCAGCAGACAGAGTCCCCCCAGAGAGACGGGGATCTGGGAAAAAAAACAGGATGTTGATGGACTGAGTATAATCTCAGCATGAATCGGCCGCTGCTCCCCGTTTCTCCCCGGAGCGCGGAGGGGAAGGTCATTCATCAAAAAGTCACGTATTAGTCATCGAAATGTGAGCAGCCTGGGGTCGAAATAGTGACCCAAGATGATGCTGAGATGCAGCGGGCGTAGAGGTCAACCCTTAACTGATGACTCCGTATCGACCAAACAGGAAGACAGGAGCGGTGGGGAGGCTGCTGGATGGTGCACCAGCGCTCTCCTCCTCCTCCTCCTCCTCCCAGTATGGGGAGATGAGGAGGACTGACAAATGAGTGCACACCAGCTGGGTGAGCCTCATGAGAAATCTGGGCTGTCTGCAGGCGTAGCAGGCGGAGCAGGATGATTGGCTCGGGTTCGGGCTGAACTCGCTCGCTCGCTCGCTGCAGAACCTCCTCCACCGTCTCCAGCCACAACACGAAGGTTGTTCAAGGCAACGTACGGTTGAGTGCTGCGAGTGTTTGCATGGTGACACATTGATGCTGTGCCTCTTTTTCCTATTCCTATTCATTTGACATGGCACAGTGACTATGCATTTAAAGTTCAGACTGTCAGCTTTAATTAGGAGTATTTTCAGACAGACTTGCGTCGTTCAAAGAACTAGTTCTCAATTTACTTGCTTAACCCTCAAGATCCCACAAGTGTGATATTGATACTGTGATTATTAAAGTATGAATATAAAACATGAAGCAAAAAAGCCTCCAAAGGGTGCTGCAGCGTTCAGGCTTCTCCTTTTGACTTTACAATCCTGATTTGACACTTAAATAGAGTCTATATCCATCAAAATACCACCGAGACCACAAACCAAGTGGGACCGTGTCCAGAAATGACTGTAGCTCCTCAGTCATTCATGTGACGGGGCTGTAAAAGCGTACATTCACACCGTAATCCGTGTCGTTTTACATCCAAAGTGCTAAGAGCGCCGAGCCAAAATGTTAATGTACTGCTGCGCCGATGGAGCTGATGGGAGCTCGCTCTTCATACATATGCATATTCCACCATCCTACCCAGAATTCCCCCTGCAACCCGCTCCCAACCTGACGGAGGTTTCTAAAAACGGCAGAAAGCTTAACGTCTGTGACAGCAGACGTCACAGTGGAGGAGAGCGACTGTGATGAGACCCAATGCTTTTAGAGGCCTCTTTTGTTAGCGGGGAGCGAATCACGCTTTACAAGATAAATCATCCCGCTAGCAGCCAGCTTAGACTGTGTACAACTAGATAAGGTTGCCAAGGAAACCCTCCTGGAGAACCAATGAGCTTTTTTTTTTTTTTTTTTTGCTACACCAGCCTCCTTGATCTGTGCAAACAATTAATACCTTAGCCAGGCAGAAGGGAGGGAGCTGGGGAAGTGGGAGGCAGGCACAAATCCCCAGGTGCTTAGTGCACACCGCCGCGCTCTGCCTTCAGCTATGTGAACGAGGACACGAGGTAAAAAAAAATGTCACAAATGGATATTGGGCTGGAGGACACTGAGGGATGATGTATGACTCATTGTACATTAATTCAATGAGGGAACAGCGTTTAGTCCATAAATCTAATCTTGCACACGTGCAGCAGCACACATCACTAATGTCCTTTTAATGAATGTTTTGAATGCACAGCCATAAAAGTGCCATTATATCCACCACATCCATTTGTAAGTCGGCTGTGATTGCTACGCTGCTATCGGTGCAGCTGAACACACCCGGCGCCTGACAGAGGCCCTGATGTGCGGAGCTGCCGGGGAGCCATTAGGTTCCAGGAGAGACTTCGACTAGCCACAGATCAATGCTCTGGAGCCCTATCTATTACTAACATCCAATTATAGCAATGGACGTCCGCTTAGCACTGCTACTAAGTGCTTTAGTCTTTTTATTGACTACCTGTCAACCAGCTACACACAGTGGAGCTATTGGCTAATAATCAGCTATCGATCCATCCGCATGTCAGGGATCACCAGCGTGTCGTTAAGTGTGTAAAGAGTGTGAGGAGGGCAGCGGTGGTCACAACAGAAAGGCGTTAGTGTGTGATCCGTCCCTCAGCTGTTCCCCCACCATCTCACATCATTCAGCATACTTAATTAGGAAGCAGCCAATTTTGCACAACTTTGAATAGTGCTGGCTTGCAATCAAAGTAATTAGCCAGCACATTAACTAAAGTAGGAAATCGGCGGTAATTGAAAAAAAAAAAGCTGAGCAAATGTTGAAACAAATGGCCAAGACGCCGGAGACAAAGCAGCGAGTCGATACGAGGCCTGTAGGACGAGCGGCCGGCCGAGTCGCACTGTGTGTTTATTCTGAGCCGAGCGTCAGAGATGGCAGGCGGTGATTGCTCCTTCCCGCTTCATTGATTAATTACAGTCATTAAGTGGTTAGAAAGTCACCTCACCTGGTGTAAGGGGTGGAATTCACCGGCTGATTAAAATTAATCACAGTCAGAAAGCGGCACGAGGTCGAGTCCCCGGAGAGCACGGCCCGCCGGCGGGGAGACGAATTAAGTTCTCGTCACGCTCAAGCCAACAGTAAACACTTCTGTAAACAAACAAATAAACAATCGTGGATGGCTTCTTTTGTTGTTGTTTTTTCTCTCAATTCATGGACTTTTATTATTCAAAAATACAGCACAAAAAATACACACGAAAAGAAAAGTGGTCGTCACACAGTGTGCAAACCTCAAAGGAGATCTTCATACAGGATTAGTACGCTGATGTCAAAGCTACAGTTAATATCGTTAGTAGTAGTTGTCCATAATGTTCTGAGCTCAGAGGGGGGGGGGGACGGTACCAGAACCGCCTCCTCCTCCGCGAGCTCGGTACACCTCACCAGCTGGTGAAAAGTCTAGCTAGAATTCTACAGGGGCCCATCCTGACCACAAACTCCCCTCATGTACAATACACCTGCTCTCACACACACACACACACACACCTACACACACACACACTGAACTGTAGTCGAGCTGACAGATGTAATTTCTTTGTCAGGGCAGGCCCAGGTCTCACTTTTCTTGGTGTTACATCAAATCTGAAGCGCAGAGGCCAAAACGTTTCTACAGCTGTCACCTCTCCTCAGACACCAGGACTCACACACACTCTCTCACACACACTCTCACACACACGCAATGACAAATGCACCGAAGAGCAACTGTACTGCACCGACTCGCCCCTCCTCTCGTGTTTTAGATATAGATTTGCCAAGCACAGCACAGCAGAGCGTCACATATACATCCATATAGACATCGTCGTTATATCATTCAGTTGTGTTGTGATTAGATAGGGTTACTTCCACAGGATACGTATACATACAGCCACAACCATTCAGTTATTTAAAAAAAGAAAAGCATATCAATTGCTGAAGTTTAAATAAACTTAAAAAAAAAAAACTCATACATTAAGTCATGTTTTGGAATAGAAAAACCAGAGGTTCTGTTCAGCTACGGGAGGATCTGTTTGCGGTGAGTGGGTGTGGGAAATCCTGGGCTCGACCTAACCGAGGCAACAGAGAACAATCGATGGGGTTCACCGGGTTTGGATCATCGTGGTTTTATTGTTCTCGCGGCAGTGATCGCTATGCAGGACGATGCTACAGCACATCGGCGGACGACACGACTGGGGCGACAAGGCACGACAGAAGTCATTAAAACCCAGCTGTGAGGAGGGTGAACCGAGGGGAGGCGGCGCGTAAGGCTGAAACGAGGAGGAGAATAAGGCAAAAAGAAACCGTAAATGTTTTCTTGTACAGTAGCAGACGGGATGACATACTGGGCCTCCATGGGTGACTAACAGAACCCACAGACTGAACCAGCACTTAATGCAGGATGAGCTCAGAGGAACAGTAATCAGCGCTCTACGGCTCTCGGCGGGAACTTTCTCAACGCGCCCACGCTTTGCATCTTTCATTAAATGTCCAATTAATGCCAGAAAGGCCATGAAGGGGTTACACATCGACCACAGGGAGAAGGTTAATCAAGATATTGGCTCCTTGTAATGCAACTGCTAACAGGGAGAATTACACATGTGGCACCTCCGCCGTGACTCCTGTCCTGCCAATAGAGTTCATGTGTGTGCGACTAGAGGCCCGGTGACGGTCAAACACAATCAGAGCTGATTGCTCAGTGAACCTCGCTGTCCAGCTGCTCCTGTTATTTCCCCAAACACCTCTATTAAAATCTCCTGCACAAAGGGCTGGGGGATGGACAGCGGTCCTTTTTAAGCTCAGTCAAGAAGCAATAATCCACCCAATCACAAGTTGCGGTAGCCTGGACCTCCCCTCCTGCTTCACTACGAGCCAATCCTGTCCCCCTTAAGGCCCCCAGCCAAACGCAGAGTGGACAATTCAAACAACAGAACGACGGTTGAACAGAAAACGGCTGACCTACATAGACGGTCGTCAGCTCGGTTCGAGGATTAAATCAAATTTCCTTCTAATAAGTCAAAACTGGTGGAGACTGGATCGCCTGACGGATGATCGCACTGTTACGGAGGCAATAAATGAACTATACATTTATCAGACTCCCACACACACACACACACACACACACAGCTGCAGTTAAACACATACATGCATGCATAGAGCTGTACAGCGGGCCAATCAGGGGCCTGGATCTGTTTTGAACATACAGCATCTCTACAGTAAGGGCCGTCTATATTAAAAAAAAACAACATGCGTTCACATATGTACAATATAATTTGTATTATATCGAGCATCCTGCTTCATATCCACACTAAATCGTTTTTCCTTTTTTTTTTTGTGAGAAAGTCCAGGACAATAAAATTCATAAAAGTTTTTTTTTTTTTTTTTTTCTGTATTTCTATTTGATAAAAAGTTTTTGTGCCCTGTTTGGATTCCAGTACAACTTTGATTCTCCTGTCAGCATCACAGCAGAGCCAGGTCTTGGTGAGAGGAGGATAATCCCATTTGTAAATAATGAGCTAAAAGTCAGGCCATATCCCAGCTCCTGCTCCGTCCTGATTGGCTTGTGTCCCACTCCCTTCCTCCTCTGTTCCCTCCCTCGCTGCACGGTCCTTTTTTCAAGAAGAGGACACGCTAGACAATTGAGCCATCCCTGTTCTGGGCAGGGATCATGACGGGGATGGCCCCCATGCGGCTCAGGTTGGGGACGGCCATCTTGGCGGCGGAGGGAGGGGGCAGAGGGGCGTGGCTCGGAGGCCTGTCGTACTCCTCCGTCGAGGGAATCTTGTCGTACTGGGGCTTCAGGGCGTACTCGTGCAGGTTGGAAGGCGACATGGAGCCCAGGGACGAGCGCTGGCTGCCCACGGTGAAGCTGCGTGCCGTTGAGACGCGACTCTTGGGCGGCGGCACATCCTCTCTGAGAGAAAACAGAGACAGCAGCAGAGTTAGACGAGAAACTCACTGTTATGAGTTTGTCATTTGAGAGAAATTGAATATTTGAAATGATTTTCTAATGTGCTATAAACCGTAATGAAGTGTGATGGACAGGTCTGAAGCAGGGAGGAAAACAATGAATACTCAAGGAGGCTGCGAGAGTCACTTCAAGAGCGAAACATGATTCGACTCAATAAAAAGGGACAAATAATTGGAGTGGGGCCGTTTGATTGGTCAGACAGTGTCTGCACAGCTCAGCCACACTGACTGTGTAACAGCCTGTAGAGATTGAGCCGAGCATCCAAATACAGCAATGCCCTCTACTCCCTCTGCCACCACATTAACAACTAATAAGCAGCAATAATCCAGTTAAATGCTCAATCAAACGGAGCCTGAGGGGCCAAAGCTTGTGTAGTCCACAGCTTCATGCTGTGGCGTTTCAGCAAATGTGTGTCTGTGTATACGAGTCAGGACCAGTGGTCTAATCCTCTTTGTCCTACAGCGTGAACAGTGTCACATTGTGGTCTTAGACAGATTCAGTCCACAGCAGAGTGATAGTAAGCCCAGCGGCTGTACAGAGCCCATAGGCCGGATGGAGAGCTGGATGGTGCAGGGCTGGGAGGCTGGGGCTGGAGGGGTGGGGTAGGTGGGTCTGGAGAGGGGGCTGGTGGCGGCCAGCAGCAGACATTACACAGGATCCACAGAACAAACAAAGCTTTCAAACTGATTACCACAGCTGTTTATTTGAGGAGGGGTGAAAAAAGGAAAACGCTGATGGAGAAAAACCATTTTCACGGTTGTTGGCGGGGTCGAGACGTGTCCGTGGTGTTGTGTGTCCGTGTCTAAGACGACCACAGATCACACCACACGTGGAGCTGAGAGCAATAATCACACATAGCCAACAGCATTTCTACATGTAATCCAGCATCATACAACCTGAGACATATTCCTCATTACACAGCAAAGACCAGACGGTAATCCCAAATATTCATCCATCACGAGGGAGCTTTGTTTATCTGCGAACCAAATCTCATTGATGATTTAGCGAGCGTACCTTATCTCATTGCAGATTTCCTTCTCGTACTTCTTCCTGTTACGGGCACGGCAACAGCAGAAGAGGATGATGGCGATGATGATGAGGATCAAGAGGACAGCGATTATGGCTCCAGCAATGATGCCTGGAGTGTTCGGGGCTGGACAGCACAAAGAAGAAAAAGGTTGTGAAGGTTTGGGAAACACTTGGGAAGCAACGGCCTGAATGTAACTGAGGGTGTGTAGCGCTAGGTTTGGCTCTGACGGTAGCTTAAAGTACTCATTCTGCCCTTTACTGCAGTCTTTTCAGTTTATCCGACTGAAAAACAGGAAACCTTTTAAAAGCACAGTAATCACTGATGCCACTGAAACAAATTCCAAATACACTTTCTGCATCTATGTGATGTAATAATCTAATGAATCAGTTCAACGAGGGTGCAAAGGATAGTTGGTACAAGTTAAAAACTGCAAACTAATACAGCCTGAACAAAGGCACAGCCGCGAAGGTAGCACAGTGAGCCGTACATATGGTGTAACAGATGGCAATGACAGGCGGTTTGATGGTGGGCCCACCACTTTCAGCCAGACTGAAATATCTTAACTATCGCCACAATTAGTCACTACGCAGGATAATCAATCTACAGGAAACACATCAGCAGACCGTCTGATAATCAAATAAAGCAAAACGCTGATTCTAGCTTCCTGTAAATGACAGTTTGCTATTTTATTCAGCCTTAGTGACAAGATTTTGTAGCTCTAAAAGTAAAATTCTTCTTTACTTGATGTGAGTCCAAACAGGCCAGCTGACCGCTTAGCAACAGGTCTGGATGTGAAACGGGCTCGGTACCGGCTAGTGGTTCTCAAACTTTGTGAGCCACGACCCCCAAGATGACAGAAGTTTGCAATTTGAATTTTTAATATCTCACGAGTAATAACTTTGTTGTTTGTGCATTAAAAATTAATGAGTCAATTCCTCAGTTTAATCTCTTTATATTAACATTTTCTTTTGAATGAGTGAATGAATTGAATTTATTTCGAACAAATGAAAAGGGAAAAAAATATAAAAACAAAAGAATAATAATAATATCGCATAATCAAATCATAATATTAACAAGTCCAAAAAAGGGAGTAGGAAGAAGTATTCACTTTTAATTTTGGCAGCCCTGATACACACTAATTTGTTAAATGTAGGCTTTATTTATTTCTTTATTTCCCCCTGAAATTGTCGACCCCCCAGCTTGAGAACCACCGGGCCAGTGCATCAACATGGACTCGACTGAGTACTCACGAGGCGAGACGTTGAGATAGAGTATACATTCTTCTGTGCCAACGCGGTTGCTGGCAACGCAGCGATAGGTGCCAGATGCACTGGCAGATGCATTCCTCACGTTAATGGTGCCTCCCATAGGATCTGTAGCGAGGGCAAAAAAACACATCAATGAAAAGATGACAGCGTTAAACAGAAACAAGACCTCACAAACACTCGCTAGTGAAAAGGTTCATTACCCATCACAGCGGAGGCGGGCAGCACTTTGCTGTCGCTGGTCTTCTCCCAGCTGTACTGCATGGGTTTGGTTCCCTCGTTAGCTATGCACTTCAGCACAATGTCTTTGCCTTCTTCTGTGGGGCCTTCAGCGTAGCACCTGGGCTTGGATGGCTTCACTGTGGACAGAAAACGGAGGGAAGCAATTCAGAGAGACGCATCCAGGTGGTCACATTAGCTCAGAATAACAGTCCTCCTGCCTTCAACCCTGTTATTTTTCCATGTTGTGGGCAACTTGTATGCCTGTGTGTTGTCAAGTCCTAAAGCTGATATTCTCCCCTCGCTCAAAGCAGAAAGTCATCAGCGAAACGAGAGCGGTAATCAGAGTAATTGATACAGCTGTCGTCATTACAGGAGCTGTCACTCAAGATAATCACGAGGAAGAAAAGAGCCGTGTGCCATTAGACACAAACACACGTGCATTCAGCGGCGAGGATGGAGAGCAAAGCTTTCTGTCTTCAAGCTGTGCAAAAAAAAAAAAAACGTGGACAAACACTCCTCGGTCGGTCAGAGTGTTGGCAGGAGATGAGATGGGGGGATTCAAAAACAAACAGAGCTCCAAATTAAAAGCAGACTGATTCCAGTGAAGCCCAGACACACAGCGAGCCAGGAGAGGAGGTGCAGGGAGGAGGAGAGGAAACGAGGAAGGGACTGTGTTTGAACAGAGAAAATGTGAGGCCAAAGTCTCTGCTCCGTGCTCGCTGTTAGAGAGCTGACATCATGGCGTGGTAATGGGTTCTGCAACAACAAAAACCCTGGAGTGGGGCTCTCCAGATCTGAACCAGGTGTCAGGCGGGAGGGGAGGGGGCTTAGCAGGCGTAACCGTGCAGGATTAACAGTACGCCGACAGTACTGAGTGCTCCTACTAATCTAATAACCACTCGCAGGGGTGAGGACAGAGGGGGCAAAACAGAGAGCAGGAGAGCAAAAATTAGGCGAGCGCTGACGGACAGATGGTGGAGTGATGGAGGCCAAGGCTGCGTGGCTGCTAACTCACCGGCCCGCGCTCTGCCCGCCGTCGCACACATTCCCACAAATGCCAAAGAGATATGACATTTTGAATGCATCCTTTAAAGGTGAAAGTCAATGCGACGCGTCCGAGGGCTGACACGTATTAAGACCGCTGTCCGACGAGCAGATTTATTTGTTTGAGCGATGAGGTCAAAGACGAAGGTGGCGGAGGCTGCAGGAGCGCAGAGAGACAAAGGGCAGAGCGATACAGCCATCCCAGCTCTGCGAGATGAACAATGAAGTGGGATTTATGAGCTGCACAAGGCTATCTTACGGACCAGATAAGACGAGAAGAACAGCTAGATGGTGGTTTCTGCCTAGAGAGCTTCACGGGGCGACGACGCCTGATTGGTAAATCCAAGCGACTAGTGGCCACGAGAGCCAAGCAGACAGAAATAATGAGATTGGCTGTTGAGCTTTGCGGTGAGATCCTGGATTTGATGAGGATTGTCTGGACTCGGGCAGAGCTGAGCGACTGGCTGTTGAGGGTACAGGTGGGGTCTAGTCAGAAGCAGTTGTCGGAGTGGCTGACGTGCAGTGCTGAAGTGCAGGTGGGTACTCTCCTCCTGTTAGCTTCAACGTCCTGCTGCAACGCGAGGAGAATACACAACAAGGCCCGCTACCTCCTGCACTGTACCTGGACGCCGGGTGTACTGCAGGTGTCAGCATGTGTGTGTGTGTATACCTGCACACACCAGTGTTTGTGACAAGACCCGGCATCAGCCAGTGAATATACGGAGGTATGTTTGTGTTCGTGCATGTCTACCCTGTTCTTAGGGACCATCCACCTTGTGACAAGATCAACCTCTGGGTAAAATGCAGAGCAGGCAGAATGTCCCCACCTCTCCTTGTCAATGTTTCTCTGCTCAGAATACTCCTGCCCCTGGGGTCAATAGCGAGCAGCCTGTCAGCTTCTGTAGCCGCGAGTCATCTCTCTCCCATGCCCACAGAGTCACGCTGGAGCTGAAGACGGCTGCAGTTTAACACAATTAAAGCTTTTCCAGGATTTACCTTTCAGTCGCTCGGCTGGGGCCCAACCAATATGGATTGTTTGAGGCCGATAAAAAAAATCTGATGGCCGATTAATTTTAAAAATATATATAATGAATAAAATAGCTTCTTTTTTGGTCCCTTAACGCTTACAGCAACAAATATGTGAATTACAGGCAGAACATTTTACTGTTTTACACTCTGTCCTTTAGTGTTTGTTTAACTTTACAACAGAGAGGAGTTACAAGAACAAAAACATGCAACAAAGCTTTAAACAGAATATGCATCAATTCAAAAAATAAGATTTCCAAACAAATATGTGTGCAATGTGGGGGCTTTTATTTAAAATTTGCATTGTGCATTGTTCTTTGTATGGAGCATGAATATAGCTACCAGCTGTACTGATGACTTTAGGTTAAGCAACATGATGAGTGAAGTTACTGCAGAACGTTATTTATGCAAAGACCGTGCTGTCTTAAAAGCTGATGAGAATAAGTTAATAAAAATATAAGATATAAGGTTGTTAAAAAGTTTAAAAAGCTGTTTTCTGTAGCTCTCTGTCAGCGTGAGGCTCTATACGCTGTTGACTTTGCGGCAGAGTGACTGATCTCACCGCTGAACGTTGGTCAGCGATCTTAACCCTTCATCATCTCGGTGAGCAAAGTTTGACTTGTTTACAACAAGCAGCAGCCAAACCGGAGCTTCTCATGGTGTTGAAGTGTTGTTTTTTTTACACACTTTAGCCTTGGAGAATATTTGTCTTTTTACAAAATCAAATTGTACGAAATGAATTTACGAAAGCGACACTTAATTTATTGTTTTATGAGAAATTATCAGCGATTAATCAGCAAAACTCCAGCTGATGACGAGTATTTTAAAAAGGGCTATAATCGGCCCTAATATGCACATTTTGCAAACTCTGTTCTGAGAGGGACGCATGAGTTTTAGATACTTTAACAAAAGGCATCCAAAGGGCATAAACGCAGCACACATGTAGCTCCCGCTGGATAACACACAACGCTGGTATTTGCTTATGCATCATATTAGACGGCTGCTGAACTGTGACAGCTGACATACAACATCAGCCTCTGCTGCTGGGTTCAATTATGCACGAGGCTAGAAACTGAACAGCTTTTTTTATGAAACACTGATCATTTAAAAAAAAAAAGGACATGAAGTGAAATGACAAATCAGCAGGCGGCTGGCTGATCTCTCTCACTGGTGAAGGATGTGAAAAGTGTAGCCGGCAGGGAAAGCCATCGCAGCAAACACTCCAGCGTATGTATTAGTGATGACTTATGCAGTGACTAACTTTTTTAGCTTCAGTTCAGATCAGTTTTTTTTTATGTAAAGCAGCCTCCCCAAGGCTCTGTCAATGGCTCTGGAATCAGCTTTAGCCACATTTCATGGTCAGATTATCTGCGGGCATACTCTTATCTGCTTCGTGATGCCACAACACAACTCCAGCGAAACCAGTCTGTGTAGCTGAGCTGGTCGGTGCAGCGCGATCACATGTGTACACAAAATATCAACGGGAACGGCGGCCATTTTCTGGAGCTTGTTGTGCTTTCAGAAAGAGGAAACGGTTCTGACACAATATGCAGCTCAACGCAGAGCACATGTGAGGCTGTTTTTTTTTTTTTCCCATATGCAAATAACAGGCGGGTTTCGGGAGGCGATTCGCGTTCAACATCATTTAGCTGGTTGACTGACCAGCGAGGCCACAGTGTGTGTGAGTGTGTGTGTTTGCCTAGGGAGTGAATCATCTGACTTATACAACTCTGATGTGTCACCCATCTCACCCTGTGCAACAAAAACAAAAAAACGGACTCCATTTCCGACAAGTTTGTCCACATTTTTCAGAAGACAGCCTGGTACTTTGAAAATGATGTGTGAGACTTTAAATGATTTTTTAACTACGTATGTACAATCTAAAGTGTTAATTATGGTTTCAAAATACACGTAGGATGATACTGCAAAACACTCCAGTGATTATTGTTATGATTTTGTTCATTGTGACGAATAATAAATCATGACAGCAATGTTTTATGGGGGGAAAAAAAAAAATCTGGATTATCATTTTAGACATAATCACGGAGCATCTCGGGTGAATTGTGCCACAAAGGGGGGCGACGCTTTGCAGCCAGTGGGAAGGTTATGCACTCGATTTTAGAAGGGATTACATCAAAACAGCCAAAAGAGGGCAAAGGGCATGTGATCTGGTGCATTTCCACTGTGGAAGGGAGATTTTACCCTCCGAGGGGGAAAAAAAAAAACTGTTAGCAAAACGCTGCAGTGTGTTCAGCGGTTTGTCCTGCTCCGGCGACCGCTCCACTCACCCATGACGATCAGCAGCATCTTCCTGCTGCGGATACCGGGAGCCTTCTTCACCTTGCACTGGTAGGTGCCCGAGTCCGATGACTTCAGCCCCGCCAGGTTGATGGAGGCGTCTCCGTTCTTGGGGTCAGCCGAGTTGAAGTGGACTCGACCCTTCATGGGGTCGTAGTAGTCCTCGTAGGCCCTGTCACCCGAGTACAGGATCACCTGGTCGTGGAAAAGGAATACAGGAGTGTTAAAAACTCTGCTCAGTATGATGCAGTGTATATGGCTTTTTAAAAAAATAAAAAGTCCTTCTAGAAAACAACAACCAGAAAAAAAGGCCCTGAAATGACAGTCGTGTGCTTTCTGAAAGCAAAGGCCTTGCTCACTGAACCAACAAAATATACGGAGGAGAGAAAGTACCCTCTCTTTTATCTCCATAGTGTCCTTCAGCCTGTGCTGTTTTGCCCTTTCTGTGTGTAAGAAGAATGAAGGTGGAACAAACAAAGCCACCACTGTGGAGCTAAATCAACACCTGCTGTGTCAATAAAGCTCCCAATTCCGTCCGACCACTTCTCCGCCACACACACAAGCGCCCGGCTCAGACAAACACCGTCTGGGTCTTGAGAGCGGCGAGGAAATGCCTGGAAATAAGGGCCAGGTGGAGCCGACGAGAAGCCTCGTAGCAAGCGGTGGCGTGACGGCGGAGGGAGGAAACGAACGTACAAGGAAAAGAGAAAGGAGGGTAAAAGACAGAACAATGAAAAGAGTTCTCATTCTCTTTCACTGGCACATTCCTCCACATTTCCACTGAGACAGAATCATCAACAGGCTTTTCTGTGCCACGATCAACGCCAGGCGTATGCACAGTAATACCCCTGGGTGGAGAGAGAGAAACTTAACGTGGTAGGAGGAGAGGTAGAATAACGAACCCGTCAGACGAGGCAGAGCGCTCAAAGGAAGCACGAGAGAAAAAAAAGAGTCGGCGAGGTTCTAGTGTGTCTTTACCAAGTTGCTGCTCCATTTCCAGCTGAAAGACGAGTTTCTGGAGGAGTGCTCGCAGCGGACACGGTGCTCATCTTGTACACATTAGCCGTATAAACAGGTAATTCTGTTAAAATTCCACCTGGCTCTCAGGGGAGGGAAAACCTATCCGTCCAACCTCACCGGGGATCAGAACATCAGCAATAACAACAGCGATATACGAGATGAGACCACGGAGGAGAGGAAATTAAATTGCCCCGAGCTCAGCCAGACAAGAACTCTCGCTCGGGCTCGACCACTTCACAGGCACACAGATGGGAGCGCTCACACACATGCACACCTCCAGCTAAAACAGCTCCGAACTGCACAATAACCTTGAGAATCATGATCCAATGAAAAAAAAAAAAATCCCATAAAGAGCCTGGGGAATGAAAATGAAAAGGGCAAATGACTAGACAAGCTGGCAGGGGAAACAACAGAAGAGCACCACTGTCTGCGTGCTGCATTTCATAACAGGTAGGACACTCAATGATACCATCGCCACCTGGCCGAGCCGCTCTCAGCAGACGGATCGTGCTGCAGAGGTAAAAAAAAAAAGGCCTCGATTGGCCAGCCTCAGTTTCATCAGACACATGTTGGGATGAGATCATTGTCATGTGATGCTGTTGCTCAGGCAGCCAAGAGGAAAAGGTGCAGCTCATTTGAGAGGCAAAGCAGCGAGCTGTGATACCTGTATACTCTAAACAACCTGCAGAGCTCAGAGAGAGCAGCATTGTCTTTGCACTCCCACTGAGGCTTTTAACTTGAAAGACTCAAAGTGCTGCTGCCACAGAAGAGCTCTGCTCCAAACGGCTTTGAAAGGTGAACACAGACTCGCCACCTGGAAATGGAATTAGTGTCCTTCAATACTGAGGCTAAAGGGAATGCAACAAAACATGGCCATGAGCAAGAGCACACACAAAAAAATAGTGCAATTTTAACAAAACCTTGTCGTGGCTTTACATCCAAATCCTTCAATACTTTGTGAACACACACACACACACACATTCCTGTTGCGATAACTCCAGTAAACAAAAGGCTCTGCTGCTACGCTCAAGGACAAAAGAAGCAGTTTGTGGGATAAAGCCATGTATTTTTCTTAGCAAACTATTCTTCACACACTCACATTTGGTTTTCATAATTGTTTTTTCCCGTTGTTCTCACAGAGGTGGTAAATACTGGAGGCACACCCTCTTTTCAGCTAATCTGTGCCCCGGCACTGAGAGCCAAATGCAAATGACTGTTACTGTAGGCATGCCTGGCATCTCTCATTCAAGCCGCACAAAGCAACACGCATTAGCTATGCTTCACCACCCTCAAAAAGACCCCGACGATACGTGGAATATGTCAGATGAAGGGGGCCATCCCCTTTTCCACGAGACAATGGACTGAATAAATAATGCCGCAGCATTACTTCTGATTGCATCAATGCACAGAAAACACAGCTGGGGCTGGTTTTACGAAGATGTTTTAGTGTCTGTAGTGTTAGGGCGACATTTATTTTGCTGTAAGACTTTTTGACTGACTAATTTTGAGCCAAAACTATTTGGACACCTGACACTGGGCTAACTCAGTGTGACCATCAGTGACTTCTGCTGACCGGTTCTGTAGTAGAGAATGGTCTGGCTGCACCGTTTGGCTGTAGGAGGACATAAAACACTCAAGCTGGTTTGTATTCTTTTTATTTTAAACCAATCACAGCAGTCAGAGCTACGCCCAAGATGTGGCTTCAGCGTTCCTTTAGTTGTGGTAGAACATTTAAATGCAGGAAGATGTGATTCAAATAGATGATCAACTTAAAAAAAGACCTGCAGGGCTCCAAATCCTGGACAAAACCTGAACCTGTTAGCGTGGTAGGTTGCTGTCCAGCACCCAACAACAACAAAAAAAGGGAAAACATGGCAGATAATGTTGGTTTAGCGTTATAGCAATGAGAAGGCAGAAAGTTTTCAGAGACCAAAACCAACCAATAGAAGCACACAGGAGTAAAGACGTTGTTTTACCCAGAATTCCTTGTACTGTAGTCAAGAACTGAACTGCTTTATGGAACCAATATGTTCAGACATCTACCTGAAGTTTATGTTTATCAAACCAGCCTCTGTAATAGATGGCACATTAATAAAGACACACACAGAACTACAGACTCGTTCTCTTGACTACTTCTCAGTTTTACCTGACCGTAGGTGTTTCTTTAAGTAAACCCAGGATTTGCTAATTTCAAGCCGTGTTAGCGACGGTTAATCTCGGCGCCCGCGGCTACAAAGTTTAGCCTTCAAACTCGTTTCTGTGCCAGGCCCGTTCGCTTTGGTCCGAGCAGATTGGCCTAATTCTCTTGAACGCTGTCACATATATTAAAACAGAGCCTTGGAATTAATACGCCACTAATTGCAGAGAATTTCCTCCATGCATGACTTCATGTTGGTTACGGGCCATACCGATGGAAGCGTGCGTTCATAGCGAGCGAAATCTGACAGGTCAAGGAGAACAAATGCGTTCAGAATGAGATGTCTGGCCCGTTTAATTTCCTACCAAGGTTTGGCAACGATTAAGTGCGTGCACAGCGGACACAGCCAGGGCGTAATCTGTGAATCCAGAACCTGCCAGACTGGGAGGGGACCTATTCGACTGGATGTGGCGCCTCCTTTGTCAAGTAGAAATCTGTAAACATATTTTAAGTAATGCTATCTGTGACGTAATTCCTTTATTTTCCATTGAAGTCGCTTGTAAATTACCTGCTTGTCTATTTTGGATGCATTATAGCGACAGAGAGATACGTAAGGTCACACAGTGATAGTACTGACACTGAACGATTACCGATAGACAGACAGACCACCTTGCTTAGCTTGATTTCTTAGCCTGCTTGCTTTTTGTGGCTGTAAATAGAACTTCTGGCTCTAATTCCACTTCAGCAGGGAAGTGATGGGACACCCAAAGAGCTGCAAGCCACAAACAGCTGCTTCCATGTGTCTCCTCCTGCTGATTCTGAGCGACTATTCTGAATGCCCTCATTATCAAATGCTAATAAATGACGCTTTGTTGGTGATGATGGTTAACACCTATGTGTCGTCCAATGTGCTCGAAGTATTGTCCATCCATCCATCATCTATACACCTTAATCTCCACTAGGGTCATGGGGGGCTGGAGTCTATCCCAGCTGACTCACCTGGACAGGTAACCAGTCTATCACAGGGCTACACTTAGAGACAGACAACCTACGGAAAATTTAGAATCACCAATTAACCTCAGCATGTTTCTGGACTGTGGGAGGAAGTCGGAGAACCTGGAGAGAACCCACACTGCACGGGGAGAACATGGAGACTCCACGCAGAAAGATGTGGTGTCCTCGCCGCGACCTTCTAGCTGCGAGGCGACGATGCTAACCACTGCTCCACCTTGCACTTTTTTTAAAGTCTTCTGTGACTCCTACTCTCTCCAGTCCCACAGTAACATCACCCTCTCTTTGTTCTTGTACTTGCAGCATCATTGAGAAAAATAAAAACATTCTCAAAACATTAAAATGAACATGAACCACAAACACGCCAAGAACAAAGAATACTGATCAACTTTTTCACTGCACCTGTATTTTCTCCAACATTCCTGCTCATGACTCATTGAAAAAACAAATAAACGGGTGCAAATGGAAACTCTGCAAAAGCACAACTCCAGATAAGCAAAAAAAAAAGTAGGGAACAGAAGCTCTACCTGGGCGAGAGCTGGGTCGGTTGGGTCGGTGGGCAAAGAGGACAGAGGGTGGATGACAGACACACCTAATGATGAGGCTGCGTGACCTACTTCTAACATTTGGCCAACAAAAAAAACCTCCAGCCACAGGACACGAGGGTGAAAAAGGGGAGTGGAAGAGAGGGATGAGAAGGCTTTGACAGGTGGGAGGTGGGTGAGCAGACAAGCCACAGGAGAGGACCACAGCGCTGGAGCAAAAATCTGTCTCTATGGCTGCCGAAGCCCTCGGGGCATGTGGAGGTCCTGCAGAGTTGTGTAGCGTCCCCGTTGCATGGCTCTGGGCCGCGCTACGAAGGAAACGCTGCCTGGGTTAAAGACAGCAGCCACTGCTTCCAGTCCAGTGTCTGTGAGGGCACACGCTCAGTAGAAGTGCATGCGAGTCATATTACATTTGTCTTGTGTACTGTACACTTCCTACATGACAATACAATAGAACCTGGATTGCATTTCATGTCTTGCACAACACATGAAACCACACTTCAGCAGAACAGCCCAGAGAGAAGCTACAAACGCTGAACAGACGAAGGACTGACGAGGTCTTCAACACATGCAAACATGGATTATGATTTACATAGCAGCTCTCTAACAGTTTTATTTCTTCTCTATAACAGGTATTATTGGGTCACATAAGGGAGTCGTCTCTGCCCTGCACTGTGCAGTCGAAGGAATCAGGGAGTCTGAGTGGCTCTGATTTAGAGAGCTGTTCCTTTTTTTCATCACGGTGAATTATTCTGTTTATTTCGGCTGCACAAACTCAAACCTGTAAGAACACCGTGTCCACAAATTTCCTGATTAGCTTTTGTGCATGAGACAGTTTTGGTCCAGAGACGACACTTTACTGCTGTATCTGTAACGGCCGACACGGTCGTGTGCAAACGCTTGTGTTAGAAAGGCGGATTACGCTCCTAGAGATTGAATGGAGTAGACGGAGTTGCTTCAGCGCCACTATTAGTACCGATTTCAGCTGCTGGCACTAGTGGGAGCAGTAGTCAGACATTCAACTAAAAAATACCCCAGCAAACTGTGCACTGTAAGTTTTCTTTTATCAGTCAGCTCTGTCTCACATGGCACCGTAAAACCTACTGTTGATTTATGTTAGACAGCAGCTGAAGTATTAACACTCTGGTACCAAATGGCCAATACTGGATGTGTTATGTCTTGATATGTGATGGCAAACTTTACAGTCGTGGGATAACGTTAGCAAACAAACGCTGGTCGCTCACCAAGACACCTGCCCTGAGGGTTGTACCACGAATCAAGTTTGAGCTAGCCAGGCTCTCATTCACCAACCAACCCAGTGATAGACGACGAGTATCATGACGGTGGTTATTAACTGTCTTTGTTAAGGTTTCTTTTGTCAGACGGCGGGCACATAAAAGAAAACCTCTCTTCTTCCACACAGAATGGACAGGGCGTATGTCGCTTACTTCAGTTAAGAGGAACTGGTTGGTACAATGACGAGCTACAAAGACGAGAACATTTCAGTGGCATTATTTATTACGGCTGCTCCTGCAAATGATGCAGCCGCTGTGACGACATGATATTAACAAAGTGCATTCAGGTCTGACGCTATCTCAACATGAAGGACGTCACTTTAGCTTTAAGCCAAATCAAAGTGAAGCTAACGGTGCTGATTGAACATTCTCTGTGATGAATACCAGCAGGCTGATCACGTTTCGACTCTACGTTATACTAGCAGGAGTCTAAAACAGTCTTGGAAGTAAACCAAAACGATGAACAAACAAAATATTTTTGCGTTCTCTGCATCACCAACGAATGGATGTAGGTTCCTGTGGCAACACTGTGACTGGATGGTTTCGTTCAGCGTCGTCAGTAACGTTTGCCTCAACAGGTTTTTAAGAATCTGCATCATTCCCTTAAAAAATGGTCGGGAAACAAATTGGTGAACCCTCTTTACATTTAAACCTGAACATGACCTCGTCGGAGCAGATTAGCTGTGCAGCATCAGTTGCCATGGTGACCCAGTGAGTGAAAACTTCTGGCTTTAGGCTCAACATACCTCACTAACCCATTAATCCTGCTTCACAGCGCACCCCTCTGCTCCCAACCGGTTCCCATCAAACCACAAATTAATTTCTCGACCATTAAATCTTCTAATCCTCGTCTGTTTCTGATCTTTGTTTCACCTGACAGGCTCAGAATTAGAAAGCCAAGCATAGAAATATACGTTTTCAAGGCACAGTTCTGTTTTTTTTTTTATCTTGGTATAAAACTTAAAATGCTTCTACATGGCAGCGTAATGCATATATAGAAATATTCATTGGGATCACCAAGCTGCAAGTTGTTCTTTAAGCACCCACAAGGCAAGAAAAAAGCTTGACTGTGCCAAATAAAAGTCAGTGAGGGAAGAGATTTGTGAGGGACATCAACACGTACCACTTTGTCCTCATTCTGGTTGTCAGAGGACAGCAAGCTCCATTCAATATCCAGCGGTCCAGAATCCTCTGGGCCCAGAGTGAACTGGCAGTCGAGCTTCACGCTCTGACCGCTGGCCTTCTCTATGGATGTCTGCCCCGTAGACGTGATCTCTAAACCCGAGGCCAAGCCTGGACAGAGAAGCACAAAGAGAGCACGTTAATATAAAGACAATTAGATTTGCAAACGAGTACAACAGGGTCCGAGCCCATTGACACATTTACAGTTTTTCTGCAGAATTATTAGGAACATTTAAATGCCACACATAATGCAATTTAATGCCTCTTTCATGCTCATATTAATCAAGGAATCACACTTAGTTTACAACATCTCCTAACAGAATCAGAAAGTATTCAAACTCCCTCTCTGTGTTACATATTTAGAGGTTTATCCCATTAAAATAATCCCTTCCTACCTTAAAATAGCCGAACTGTAACTCTACACCATTACCTCCTATAAAATATTGAATGTGCAGATCTAAGTCCTCTCTGTTCGCTGCAGCTTGAACACACCAGCTAACCTGCTATTAGCATCTTATTGCAGGAGTTGTTAAAGATAATTCTTCTATTCTTCAGTGTAGCTCAGGACAACCTGAACTAACATTCTATAAATAAACAGGAATAAATTAAATTATTTGAACCATTTACCAACTACAGTCGTGACTCGATAATCCGACACTGAATGTAAAACCTTCTTTTATGTCGGATAGCAAGGCTGTCGGATTGTCCAGACGGAGGTCGAGCTACAAGGAGGGCTTGATGCTGGAAGGCTCATTAGTTGTTCAATATTGTTCATAGTTGTTATAATAACTAGTAGGGCTGGTCCCAATAGCACTTTCTGCTCTCTGGATGTTCAGACCCAATTAATGATCAATATTCGGTGTGGTCGGGGGACACTTCCACCCCGGGGCAGCGCTCTGACGGGGTGGAAGTGTCCAGAACACACAGGCAGTACTTGGCTGCTGATGCTAGTTTAGTTAGCGCTCACACTTCTGTTTCCTCCATCGGTGGCGGCGGGGGAGTGGCAGATACGCTCCACCGTTACCATCCATGTTTACTTCCATAAACACTGAGCACGCTCGCTGCGTGTGACGTCGTCGTGTCCTCTTCTGCGCATGCGGGACACTTTTGGCTCGTATGAAGTTCACACAGCAGATCACATACAAGTCGCATTGAACTGGAAACGTGAAGGAAGTCACAAAGAAATCCTCATTGAGCATCAAGTCCTGCAGTGTGAACGTAGCCAATCTGTGGGATTGTTCAGTCAGATAATACGCCGTCATCCTGATTGGTGACATTAAATGTCATGTTGGAGTCAGAATCCAAGGCTGTCGCTATGTTAAGGCTGTTTTTTATTGGTTCCATTTGTTTTTCCTAAAAACCTGTCAGATAGCAGGTTCAGGATTGTTAAGGGTCAGATTATCGAGACACGACTGTATTAACTGTATTTTATGGTCCATCAAGGCTGGAACTTTCAGCCACAATGATCTCATCAGGCATGAACTTTTCATCTATTTTTCTAGCTTCTTTTCATGCAATGTGATCTCTTGCTTTGCTGCAGCCTTGGCAGCCATTCCTTTGACTGTTTTGAAGTGTTTTTCTTATTTATAATAGTTTCTTCATCCTGAGAGCAAAAGAAAACGAGCTGAACCTCTGTAGTAATGTCTGGCTGCAGTGAGCTTCAGACCAGCATCAGATCACACAAACCTCTCTGATTAATCAGAACAGTTTTCACTCGATTTTGGTTGCACGACATCGTGCAAAATCCACCGACAGAAGACCACAGATGAATATAAATCATTAAAACAAAGCCTACTGGTTCTTCCCTTTCTTGCAATTGTATCATTTGCATGCAAAGTTGATGAAATTAATTTCGCTTGACTCGCTCTGCAGAAGCATTTTCAGTCAGCTGTCAAATATTTTAATTCGTGGAGTGTGTCAGTCATGAAATAAACATGGCTACAGCTTGTCTTGGGAAGCAAAGTACTTTTCCTAAAATATGCATAATGTAAATCACACAGTTTAAAAAAAAAAAAGCTTAATAGAGCAGAGCATAGCTGAGCCCGAGGAACGGGGAAGATAATAATAAAGAGAAACTGTAGCCCATCACCAAACCGAAGCAGACCCCAGCATTTATTCTTAGAACGAATAAACATGATTTCCTGGTGACATCAACTGGGTTAAGATTTTCCATTCAATGAGAGATTTAAGCCGCTGCAGGAACACAGTCCATAGAGAATGGAGTTGTCACATGCTGCCTCCATGTATTAAAACCCTTCTGACAGCCTGCCACCTTCCAACCAGCGAGTGGGGGGAGAACGACTAAAATAAAAAATAAAAAAAATCATCTCAACATGTTTAAACGTGTAACAAACTCTCACCACAACCGAAAGCATCTCCTGACGACAAAAGGACACATTTCAATCATAAAAGTCGCGGCATTTCCCGTAACTGCATCTGCACCTCGTTTAGACGCTTTTATATGAACTGACAGATGGAGCTGACGCCGATGTGCAGAGATAATTGGTGAAACAGAAGCCAAACCTGGCGACTGTAAACACTTTAACGGGAAAATTAACCTCTTTTCTCCTCTCGGAAAAAAGGCTCTTTGTGTTGATTACAAGGTTCCCATGAAAGACAAACAAATTAGACGACACACATTTACACAAAGCAGGCGAAACAGTACGTTATGTCGTGTGCATGATTTGTACTGAGGCCACCCTTTAAGTTGGGTTTAATAATGTGACGGCATTGAGGCAAGACGCTCGACAGTGCGGCACTCACAGCCACATTGATTGTCACACTTCAAATCTAAACAAGTGACAGGTTAATTAAACGATGGCAATTCAATCTATTCCTACATTTAGACGGCTGGCTGCACTGTGCAGGTTTCCAGATCCTGACCCTCGGGGGACGGAGGGTGTGAGCTACAGGTTAGTCCACCCTCAGTCCCCTCGGAGAAGACGACTGAATGAAAATACACCGCCAGAGCTCACAGACACACAGAGAGTGACAGCCTCAGTCACACCCGCTATTGTTGAAGCTCAGAGCCCGTAAGCGTTTGATATGGTCGCAAAGCACCAGCGCAGTTTTCCTCCCCGGCCGCTGGCGCTGCAGCTGGTCGTTTCAGCCCACAGATTTTGACAGACGTCCTTGATGGGAGCGATCCATCGCCTTCAGCGCGAGCAGAAGAAACCGAGAGCCAAATAGAGAAAGCCGAGGTACGTGTCCATCACTGTCAGGACGGATACTCGGCTTGGCATCTGCATGACGGAAAGCTGTGTCAATTCATCAAGCACTTAAAGAAGCTGGGGCTTTTTTTTTTCTAAAGTTGCTTAGAAAGGGGAGAAAAATTGCATTCTGAGAGAACAAGAAAGTATTCAGCTGGAACAGTTTACCAGAGCGACTGCTTTCTCTGACGGGTAATAAAGGACGCCGTCAGATGTACCTGTTAAATCAACGGCGGCCCTCCGAGGCCTTCGGCGGCGTTTGTTTAAACTGCAGCGGAGCCAGACGCGTTTTCTATTCGGCACCACGCAAATGGGGAGAGAAGTGCCATTTCAGGATATCATCCCTTCAACTGGCAGATTTGTTTACTTAATACACCTGAGTGGCTGGGCTCAGGTGACAGCAGATCCACAGCAGAGAAGCATAAACACCAGCAGCGTGGTCCAAGGTTGACTCTCTATCAAAATCAACAGACGCAGGTTTTTTTTTTTTCCTCCCCCAAAGAGTGCATTTAATCCTTTCAGAGTAAATTCAGGTAGAGGAAATGCAATGCGAGTGTTTTGGTAGAGTAGTCACTAGACATCTGCACCGTTGGCAAGGCAAGCAGGAAATGGTAAAGCCTCTACGTCCTCCTATTTCGTGAAGGGGTCCAACATCAACATCTCTGCTCAACAGTTCTGGCTGTGATAGATTTCCTTCTTCTTCTCTCACTAATTTGAAGTGGGTGGAGCTCAGCTGGAAAATGGCCGTTTAACATTATTCTGGTAGATTAATGGTAGCAGCTGGACTTGAAGACCTCTCATCCAAGAGGCTTCATCAGTTCTGACCGACAAGTTGGGAGTTCCACATACTGACATCCTTCAGGAGTCAGTTTCGGTTTCAGCTGGGGGTTTGTTGCTCCGCCCCCTCGTTATGCGAGTCGTTAGTGCTCCCCCCGACACAGTGGGGTTCGTTAGGGTCAACAAATGATATATTGTTGTATATATACAAATTCTAAATTAAATCTAACCGACAAGTTGGGAGTTCCACATACTGACATCCTTCAGGAGTCAGTTTCGGTTTCAACTGGGGGTTTGTTGCTCCGCCCCCTCGTTATGCGAGTCGTTAGTGCTCCCCCTGACACAGTGGGGTTCGTTAAGGTCTTTGTGGCTACATGTGGATGTGGTTGGTGCATCAGTCAAGGCCTAGCAACAAATTATATATTGTTGTATATATACAAATTATAAATTATATATATATAGTATTTCCATAACTGTCGGCCAAATCTGATCAAACCACAGACACACACTGACTCATATTAGTTCACTTTTGGACTGTTATTAAAAATGTTTTCTCTCCTAAACCTTTCAGTTTGATTGTTGCTTATTTAGTCATAAACATTTAATGTTACGCAATTTCAGGGGCTTTCCACTGCACATGTTTAAGTGCCATCTTTTTATGTTTAATGCACAAGAACCCGGATCCC